TAAGTGTAACCACCCTCAAGAAAGTACATAATCTTGGTAATTATCCTGTAATCCAACCCTGGCCTTGATTTCTGCCACCCCCTTATATTTTTCCTCACATTCCCTCCTTAATTTCAAATGCATAAAAGAAATTGCAAAACTTTCATTCTCCAGAGCATTTGAGATTGTGCTTCCTGGCAATTTTTGTCAGTTTGGCTCCAATAAATTCTTATAAAAATTCTCTACAGTTTTAGATGATTTTATGTCAACAAAGCTATTACTTAATAAAGGGACAGAAATACTTATAAAGGCCACAGCCCCAAGGCATAGGCCTGCTAAAAGATTGAGACTCAATTAGAAGATTATAAAATGTTCCTCCTCCCACACACTCTACCACCAATCCAGCAAGTCTCTAGTATAGTAACAGTGGATTACAGCTGAAGGAGCTGTCAAGGCACAGTCTCACATCTTTTCAAGAGAGGAGACAAAACCCCTACAAGAATACTAGAGTAATTTGAAGCCTCTGACACAAAGCTACAAGAAACAGTAAACAGCACATCTCCTACCCAAATTAACATACGTCCTCTCTCTAAAAGCCTACTTGCCTCAGATACTATGACCTGATACAGTATGTCTGATTTTTAACATAAAACTACAATGCATTCTAAAAGGCAAGAAAAAGCATAGTCTGAAAATACAAAGCAACCATCAGAATATGATTCATATATGTCACAGATACTGGAATTATAAAATAGGGAATTTAAAATATATGTTAAGGACTACAATGGAAAAATGTGAAAACATGCAAGAATACATGAGTAATACAAGCAGAAAGACAGAAATGTTCAGAAAGAATCAAGAGAAAATGGTAGGAATAAAAAATAGTAACAGGAATGAAGAATGCCTTCAGTAGACTAAACATGTGTCAATTTAAGAAACATTCAAACCTGTAGAGAATTTTTGTGAGTTTGAGCCAAACTGACAATAATTGCTGGGAAGCACAATCTAACAGATTGAGAAAATGCTCCAGGAAATGGCAGTTTTGCACCTTACTTTATACACTAGAGGCCTGGTGCACGAATTTGTGCATGGGTGGGGTCCGTCCGGCCTGTTCCAATTGGGGCCAATTAGGTCAGGCTGGCTGGGAGGAGGGGCCGTGGGCGGTTGGTTGGCCATCTCTGTCCCCAATTGGGGTAGGGGGGACAAATTGGGGGTGGGGGTAGCAGGGAGTAGGGGCTGCGGCTAGATATGTTATTGTAGATGCATAAAAATAACAGACAGTCTTAGTTAAGGTGAAAATTGACCTTTGTCATGGAGGAGTCTAGCCTAGGACATGACTACTCACCATATAGTTTTTAGTTAAGAAAGTTTTAATTTCAGACCATCCTTTTGGTTATTTTATGTTTCTGAGTTTGTAAGGTTGCCAAGCAGGCCTCCCCTGAGCTTAGTATATGGCCCCTTTTCTTCTACACCTGACTGAGAAAAGAATCAGTGAACTTAAAGTCAGGTCCATAGAAACTTTCCAAACTGAAATGCAAAAGGTGTGATACCAAGAGAAAAAAAAACAGAGCAGAAGAAATATTTGTAGCAATAATAACCAATAATCTTCCCAAATTAATGACAAATACTAAACCACTTATCCAGGAAGCTCTGGAACATCAAGCAGTATAAATATAATTTAAAATAAAAGCAAACAAACAAAAGCCACACCTAGGTATATCATATTCAAATTTCAGAAAATCAAAGGTTAAGAGAAAATCCTGAAAGGATACAGGGTGGAGTGTGGGGGAACCTTAGCTATAGAGGGATAGGCTTCTCATTAGAAACTATGCAAGCAAGAAGAGAGTGGAGTAAAATATTTAAAGTGTCAAAAAAAGTCAATCTAGAATTCTAAATTCAGTAAAATTATCCTTCAAAAGTTAAAGAGAAATAAAAATGACAGTAGTATGGCTATATGGGGGATTACAGGTCTTAAAACCTTCCTGCCACAGGATATCACAAAAAGAAATAAGCCACCAGAAACAAGAGTAAACAACATCCCAGATAACCAGACCCTGGAATACTTCAGATACTGGAATTACCACATGACAATACGAAATAACTATGTTTAATATGTTTGCAGAAATGTAAGAGATTAAAATGCATGTGCGGTGAGAAAAAGACAATAGGATTTATTCAGAAGATCTGAAAACTAATCATACTAAACTTCTAAAAATGAAAATGTAATATATGAAATTTAAAAGTCAAGCATGGTTTTAAATTTACAGTTGATTTTGTCAACAGATTGAAAAGCGTGTGTCAGTAAGACCTTAGAGTGCTTTCCAGGCAATATACTTAAAAAAACAAACAACAAAAACCCACAGTGGTTTTCTTAAAGGTTACTAACTGGGGTGAATTTTATATTGCTATGATCCAAGTCACTTGCTTTTGGCTAACAAGTACATTTCTGGAGCAGCTTGCTCTATCTGCACCAGAAAGCAGAGAAAAGAAGCAGGTAAACAGGAAAAAACAAATGTTTTAAGTGGAAGAAAACACAAGAGGATTGAAAGGCAAGTGAGGCCGAACCAGTTTGGCTCAGTGGATAGAGCGTCGGCCTGTGGACTGAAGGGTCCCAGGTTCGATTCCGGTCAAGGGCATGTACCTTGGTTGCGGGCGCATCCCTAATGGGGGGCGTGCAGGAGGCAGCTGATCGATGTTTCTCTCTCATCACTGTTTCTAACTCTCTATCCCTCTCCCTTCCTCTCTGCAAAAAATCAATAAAATATATTTTTTAAAAAAAGAAAATAAAGGCAAGTGAAGACATTAGTTGTTCAGAACATGCACATAGTGAAATAGAAGGAAATATTCAATATTTGCATATGGACTTCCTGATAATTTATACAAAAGAACCACTGATACACATGCATAATATTGTCCTGAAGGAAATGTAAAGAAAACCCATCTGAGTTTCACATTTGCAGAGAAAGGGTCTTTACTGGACTGTGGATCCTAATGATTATTTTTGTTTGATTGCCTTCCCATTAGCCCAAAGCTGGGTGATATTAGAAAATTGGAGAGATTTGCTTACTAAAATGTCAGGTTATAAATCCTCATTACTGCAATTGATGGCAGGTTATTGTCAATCAAATTATTCAATTGGACAACAAAAAGTGTAAGAATTTTGTTTGTTAGAGGCAACATTGTGAAGAGGGCAATAGTTTCACCCACCTGTACCCTACATTAACAATTAGTTTTTCTTCTTTCATCATCTTCCCCTGGAAGATTTGATCTCCAGAGCCAAAATTACTGAACTTGGCATTTGTTAAAAATACACTTTTATTGATTTTAGAAACGAAGGGAAAGTTAGAAACATCAATGTTGAGATAGAATCATAGATTAGCTGCCTTCTGTATGTCCCACACTGGGGATTGAGCCTGCAACCCAGGCTTGTGCCCTGATTGGGAATCGAACTGTGACCTCCTGGTTCATAAGTCGACGCTCAACCACTGAGCCACGCCAGCCAGGCTGACCTTGGCAATTTTGATTGGTATAACCTTCCAGGGTTGCATTTCTAAAAGAATTCTTCTTTATCAGAATGAAGCATTAACTAGCAGACTGTCTAGCAATGTGGCAAATTTATGAACATCTATTATATCAAGGTGATATATATCAGCTCATTTAGGAAAGAACATATTTTAGGGAAAATTAGCTAGCCATTTGAGGGAAAAGTGAAATTAGATCCCTACATAGACAATAAAATATTCAAGATTAATTATAAAGTTTAAAATAAAAGCATTAAATAAACAAACAAATAAATAAAAATTCAGAATAAGATATAGTAGGAGAATGTTTTTATTATTCTTCATAGTAAGCTTTTCTTAGTATGAAACAAAACTAAGTAGAATTTTTAATAGTATTGAAATTTGACTACATAAAATTTTATTTATTTTTTATTATTTTTTAAATTTCTTTATTGATTAAGGTATTACATATGTGTCCTTATCCCCCCATTGCCCCTCCACCCACCCCCTACTCATGCCCTCACCCCCCTGTTGTCTGTGTCATAAAATTTTAAATGTCTATGTAGTGAAAGATACCATACACAAAGTTAAGATGATAAATGGAAAATGGAGAAAATATTTGCAAAATATATAGTAGACAAAGCCAATATAGGTAATATTTAATACCACAGGCTCAGGAATTAGGTTGCATAGGTTCAAATACTAGCTATACCACATTCTAGTCTTTTGACCTTAGGCAAGTTACTTAACACCTCTGGGCCTCAAGCTTCTTCATCTATTAAGTGGAGATAATAAAATCTACTTGAGCTAGCTGAGAGCTATTTTTATGTAAAGGGTCAATTAAATAATAAGAAAAGGATAACCAACCCACTAGATATTCAACATCAATAAATACCTTTTGATCTTATTTTCACCTACTCCCTGGCAGCATTTCAATGTACCAGTCAAACTAGTCCTAGTCGATATTCTTTTTAAAATGGCTTTTTACCTCTTTGTTCCATGCCTTACTGTCACGGCTATCTCAGTCTAAAAATTCTCCATCCAGTCACATTAAAAAAAACAACCCATATTTTATTTATATATTTATTTATATATATATTTATTTATTGGTTTACTACCCATATTTTAAATCCTAACTCAAATCCTGTCTTCTCTATAGACTGTTTCTAATTAGTCAGTCAAAATAGCGCATTCTTTTTCTCTGAATTTCTAAGGTGCCTATAATACTACTTTCTACATATAATTAAACCTTGTGAAAGCTTTACTTCCTATAGAAATTTGTGAATTTTCACAGGCTAGAATCACATATTCTATTTCAATGTCCTTATTATAGTGCATAGGAGGTATTGTATAAAAATGTTTACTGTGTGTTTTTTGTTTTGTTTTGTTTCCCATAACAATGATCTACTACAGGGCAATCAGTGAGAAGATATATGGAATTCTCACATACATAATCTATCCATCACACACACACACACACACACACACACACACACACAGAAACATTTCCTAAGCAGCACATACTTTCTTTTTTGATTTACACTTAACTATAAATACATAAGACTGATTGATTTAACAAAAAATTGGAATATAACTCTATTGGAAGGATGAGGGTAGGAGAAAAATTACAAATATCTAAATTATAAATGAATCCTCATTTACCATAATAGCAAGTCAATACATGAAGTAGAAAATTATCAAATTAAGAAATAGGATTACAAAGTTAGAGGCACTGCAGTCAGAAGAGCAGAGACGGTTGTGACCAGACTAGGGGCCAGGTGGTTGCAGTGGCCCCCAGGGTGCCAGCTGTGGACCATGTGGCCATGGTGGCCTGTGGCCATGGAGGATCTTGTTCAAGATGGGGTGGCTTCACCAGCCACTTCTGGAAGTGGGAAATCTAAGGCAAAGAGAATACTTGACTAGCAGGCTCCCTGAAGAGTGGAAGGCTGGAACATTGCTCAAGGAAGATCTTATCAAGATTGCCAAGAAGCAAATGATGCTAATACAGAAAGTAAGTCAAGATGTACAGAAGGGAGAAACAAACAGAAGTACTCAAATCAAAACCTGTTGCCGGAGGAACTGATGATATTATTAAGATGGACTGCTGTGGCAGGAGACAGAGACAGGTCCTCCCAGAACCCACGGCTACCTCGCCTGTCCAGACAAACACCAGGCAATATCCTGGGCCATGTTCCAGACCTTGGCCTTAGCCATGTTTTGAATTTTTAGCCCCATGAGAGGAAGTGCACTGCATGAGAGGAAGTACACTGCCTGCGGACTGGTGGAATATTCTTTTTTCATATCATCATGCACTTTGTGTCTGCCTCCATTGATACGCCTGAAGTGAGCATTCTACACAAGATCACCTACAGTCAACTGCTGCTTATGTTGGACCGTTCTAAACACCATCATGTCATGGAGAATCAGTATTGCTCTCTGTGAGGGGTCACTGAGCACAAAAGCCAAACACTGGAGCATCTGCAAGTGCACCGCTGGCTTTGTCCATGATTGCCAACGGCTCAAAACTGCATCAGGAGCAGGAATTACCGGTGATTCTTCAGCTCTGTGGCCTCTGCTTGGGTTATTGTGCTTGGTTATCATCCTCTTGTACATTTTAATCCAGTACATCAACCTGTGGGTGCTCCAATGGAAATGTTGGCAAGCAGAACACGTGGCTGTTGTTCCTGCCATATTTTCACCGAAAGGCCAAGACTGCAGTGCTCATGATAATCAGGGTGTTTGTGCTGGTGTTTAGTACCATCTGCCTCCTGTTCATCTTCCATCTTTATCTAATGTTGAATAGGATGAGAACGTTTGATTGTGTGACACGGGGCCACAAACAACAGAGGTCAAGAGCCTCATCAAGGAACAAAAATAGGACCCTTCGAATATAAGTATTGCCACAGCAAAGAGATCACAACCCAATTTGATCTGCACGTAGGTGCCTGGAACTTTGTTCTATCAGCATCAAAGACGCCTTGTGAGGAAAGGATCAAGCCAGGAGGTTCTTTCCTTTAGACCCAACCATTTCTCCAGAGGAAATGAATGACAACCCAGTTTCTCTCCAGCTGGCAGGATGCTATCTTCTGTAGTCTTGCCTCCAGCTCTGCCCCTTGTCAAGTCTGTGAGCATTACAGTGGTTCAGGAAGACTCCTCCTCACCAAAGGTTGCAAACAATCTTCTTCCTGTGGAGGAAGACAGTGCTGAAAATGAAGGCATAACTTCAGGAGCCAGGGGCCAGCATTGACCGAGTGCCTCACCCAGGAGCCCTTTTCTGAGATTCGGATCCTGGCTGTGGAGTCAACCATGGAAAACCTGTAACTCCTAAACTCACTGCAAGGCAGCAGCCAAAATGTGCCATCTCAGCAGCCCCAGGACGCCCTCCCAGAGGCCCAGGAGGCCCAGATTGTGCCCTCTCCCACCATCATCATTGTGAAGGAGCTGGATGAGGAGCAGGCCCTGCAGGAAGTGTGCCCCCTCCAGCCTGACCAGTTTTCAGAATGTAAATAGGAGGTGACTTTGTGCTGGGCCCAGAAGTCTGGCCAGTGGGTCTCCACTTCCCTTGGGACCAAGACAAACCTGTCCTCAGCTTGGAGTTCAGCAACTCCTCTAATGAGTCCATTGAGATAGAAGCATTCGTTCCTCCAGAGTCCCCCGTGACTATGACGCCCGATGACCTGAAGCTTGGAAAGAAGACTGGTCCAAGAGCTGTTTAAAATAAAAGAAAATATGTGAACATCTCCAAGATCCATCTTCCCTCTTCTCTTCCCTCCCTCTATACCCCTCTCTCCTCTTTCCCCACCCCTCCACACCCAGACACTAGTGCCCAGAGCCAGAGCCCAGGACCCACACTTGGATGGGTCTGCCAGCACAAGCCTCCTGCTCTTTCTAAGAGAGCCAAGAAAAGAAGAAAACAGAGTTCCTCCTCTGTTTTTGGCTACATGTGATTTTAATGAATTCAGCATTTACTCAGTTTGGAAGCCATATTTTAACAGACATTATTAGGTTTTTAAACATGTCTATGTTATTCAAGGAAGAAAGTGAATTCAGAATGAACTTGATACAATGTTTTTAGTCTTGCTTAACATTGGTAAGTTTATGAGTTTAAGTAGCTTTTTAAGGAAACTCTTCACCATTTTCTACAAAATTTAATAGGAAATTAACCTATACTAGAAGCCTGATGCACGAAGATTCGTGCAAGAATGGGCCTTCCCTCCCCTGGCTGCCGGCACTGCCTTCGCTCCAGCCAGCCCAGAGGCGCCTTTCTGCCTTCGTTCCAGCCTAGAGCCACCTTTCCACCTTCCTACACTGCAGAGAGGCCTGGAGAGGCTGGGGCGGTGCTGAACGCCTGCATTGTTGCCATGGTGTCGATGCAAGCATCCTGCCCCGCCCCCAGCTGCTCGGCACCTGCGTATGCAAATTCACCTGCCATCTTTGTTGGGTTAATTTGCATACTCACTCCTGATTGGCTGGTGGACATCATGAAGGTATGGTCAATTTGCATCTTTCTCTTTTATTAGTGTAGATGATAAAAGGATAATATGCAAATAGACCAAACAGTGGAACAACCAGTCGCTATGACATGCACTGACCACCAGGGGGCAGACACTCAATGCAGGAGCTGCCCCCTAGTGGTCAATGTGCTCCCACAGGGGAGAGCCACTCGGCCAGAAGCCAGGTGAGCGCAGCGGTGGTGGCAGGAGCCTCTCCTGCCTGCAAGGCAGCGCTAAGGAGCAGTGAGCCGAGCAGGCGGGCGGTAAGGAGCGAGGGTTCCTGGACTGTGAGAGGGATGGAACAGGCCTAAGCCAGCAGACAGACATTCCCTGAGGGGTCCTGGACTGATAGAGGGTGCAGGCCGGCTTGAGGGTCCCCGCCCCCCCCCCCCCTCAGTGCACAAACTTTTGTGCACCAGGCCTCTAGTAGATAAACATTAATTTTAATGGCAATAAAAAATAAGATTACAAACAGTATTCAAGCATGGAGGTAAACACAGGGGATTAAGAAAAATAGTCTAAAAATGGTAGTCTATATGGTAGGGTTTCTCAAAATTTAACCTAAGAATCACAGCTTACTGGGCATCCTCCTCAGAGATCTGAGTCAATAGGCTGCTGGTCCTGGGTTCTAACTTCAAAAGTAGAATTAGTTAGGCAAAGGCCATCTGTTTTTCATTATAATTAATTTCGTATGTACAGTAGTATTCAAACTTGGCTGCTCATTAGAATCACCAGAGAGCTTTGAAAACTAGTGATGCCTAGATCCCATCCCCAGATGTTGTAATATAATTTATCTGGGGTGTAATCTGTTGTTGGTGGTTTTAACAGCTCTTCAAATGATTTTAATGTGTCCAAGATGGAGGCACACTTTGTAAATATAATTTTCTTTTTAATTATGTGCATAAATTACTTTAATTTTAATATAAAAGTAATTATCTGTATAATGTGCATGGGAGTGGGAAAAATGCAAAATTAAGAGTCAGAAGGTGTGGGATTGTGTCTGGTATGATCCTCAACCATGAGCCAGCCTGTGTCCTTGGGGAAGATGCCTAATCTGTATGGGCTGTAGTTTCCTCATATGTAAAACTAGAGGTCCAGTGCATGAAAACTTGTGCACTGGGGGGTCCCTCAGCCCAGCCTGCACCCTCTCGCAGTCTGGAACCCCTCGGGGGATGTCTGTCTGCTGGGTTATGCCTGCTCCATCCCTCTCGCAGTCCAGGAGCCCTTGCTTCTTACTACCCTCCTGCTTGGCTTGCTGCTCCTTAGTGCTGCCTCAGAGGTGGGAGAGGCTCCTGCCACCATCGCTGCGCTCGCCCAGCTTCTGAATAAGCAGCACTCCCCCTGTGGGAGCGCACTGACCACCAGGGGGCAGCTCCTGCATTGAGTGGCTGCCCCCTGGTGGTCAGTGTGCATCATAGTGACCGGTCGTTCCGCCATTCGGTTGATTTGCATATTATCCCTTTATTATATAGGACTAGAGGCCCAGTGCATGGATCATGCACTGGGGGGGCGTGGCCTGTGGGGATCGGCCCACTGTGGGAGTGCCATTCATCTAGGTCAGCCGAGCGGCTGTGGACCTGCCCTCTGAGCAGCTGCTCCCGCTGTAGGAGCGTCACTTATCCCAGTCAGCCGAGTGGTGCTCCCACTATGGGAGTGCACTGACCACCAGAGGGAAGCTCCTGCATTGAGCGTCTGCCCCCTGGTGGTCAGTGCGTGTCATAATGACTGGTTGACCAGTTGTTCTGCCATTTGGTCACTGGGCTTTTATATATATAGATTAGGATGCTACACTAGTTATTCTCAAATATTCTTTCCAACTTCACATTTTTGGGGTAATAGCTATAATTCCCTGTGTTATCTAAAATAATAAAAGCATAATATGCTAATTAGACCAGCCATCCTTCCAGACGAAGCCAGGGTTGTGAGGGAAGCCTGGGTCCCAGGTGCTACCGGCAGCTGGAGGGAAGCCTGGGTTCTGGGTGCCTGCTGGTGGCCAGAGGGAAGCCTGGGTCCCAGGTGCCAGAGGGAAGCCGGTGCTGGAAGCTGGGGGAAGGAAGGCCTACTCTTGCACACATTTCGTGCATCGGGCCTCTAGTAAAATATGGAAGTTTAAAAAATATACAGCAACAAAAAGTTCTTCATATGAGTGTTTATTTTATTTAGGGAACTATATCATACATCTTTTCATTATTTCTTCTTAATTAATATTTTCATATAAACATGTCACTTTTCCCCATTATGTATTTATACACTTAGTAAAATAAAAAGTTCACCCTGGGAAATAAAGATGAAAACAGTTGAGATTAAGTTATACTTAATGGCAGAGCAGTACATCATTATCATTTCTCGAAAACATCCTTTGCTAGATTGCATCCAAGATGACAAAATAGCCTACCCTTCTGTTATTGTGAATTATTTCCCCAATAGTGATAAAAGCAGATCCTGATTTTTCTATTGGCCCAAACCTCTTTCTACAAGCAGCACCTACTTGTATTATGTCTACTCCTGACTAACTTTAAGGGGGCAGTGTGTGGTCATAAATTCAGGCAAAACAAATAATTGATTAGAGTGGTAGCTAAGCTCCACTTATTACTCAAAGGTCTTACCCTGATATATCCTAGAGGCTTAGTATAATTGTGCTGTCAATTCACAATCATGAACACTAACAAAAGGAGATTTGGAGAATAAGGATTGATACAGATGATACAAGGGATTTTAGTGACTTTAGAATGCACTACATAGAGGGAACTTCCAATATGCCTTCATAATTATATTTTCTTTAGAATACTTTAAAGTTAGCTTTCATTTCTTGAATCAATACAGATAATTGGCATTGTAAAGATAGAGAAAAGAACCTATTCTGAAACAAACAAACAAAAAAAATCAGCTGCCCATAATTACAGATGGATTATGGAGAGAAAGCTACAGAGCTTTTTACAAAAGACTTATATTCATGTGCACATATGTTTGCCTGTGACTTTGAACTCCTCCCTTTTAAGGAAAGTTTTTGCCCAGATGGAAATCAGAATCTATAGTAATCCAGTGCTGAAACAAAAGGTGAATTTCAAAATGAAAGGAGGTCACAGCCATGTGCCATGATTTTGCAGGTAGTTAAAAATGAACTGAGAAGTCACCATCTGGTGGGAGGCATCTGAGGGAAGCAGCCACTTTCTGTTGGACATAAATAGAATGAAAGCTTGTTGAGCTATTTATTCTTAGATGTTTGCCATCATGTTTTGCTCCTCCACTGAAATATACCCATCTTATGATCTCTCAGTTTTAGAATGGATGTTCTTAGCTAACTCTGAGCTAATCTAATCAATTAATTTATTCTGAGATGTTGTAAGAGTCCCCTCTCTCAGGTAAAACATGAATGTTTTCAGAAGTTTGACCCTTCTTGTCTACCCGACTAAAAACACTAAGAAAATTTCAGGTGAAGTAGGAGAGTAGCTCAGTACCAAGAAGAAGAAAGATGGGTGGGCTAGTAGGATCTTGTTAAGTCCCTGCAATCACAACATCTATGGATAAAGGCTAGAAAATACACACCTACTTTTAGAAAGCAGTTTATATGTGAATGGAGTTTTCAGCTCTGTTTTCTTGAAGAAAAACATTGAGTGTCATTCAAAATCATTTGAAAGAGATTACAAATAATATAAAAAGTAACCTACACAATAAACAATAATAATGCTAACTCATATTTATAGTTTTTAAAAAGCTATAGTTGACATACAATATTATGTTTCAGGTGTACAACACAGTGATTTGACATTTATGTACCTTGGGATGTGATCACCACAAAAAGTCTAGTAATCATCTGTCACGGTACAAAATTATTACAATATTATTGATTATATTCCCTGTGTTGTACATTACATCCTATGACTTAGTTATTTTATAACTGGAAGTTTGTATCTTTTTCCCTTCACTTTTTCACCCATCTCCCACCTTCCATCAGCCTCCCATCTGTCAACCATCATGTTTGTTCTCTGTGTCTGTTTCTGTTTTGTTTTATTTGTTCATTTGTTTTGTTCTTTTAGATTCCACCTATAAGTAAAATCATATGGTATGGTATTTATCTTTATCTGACTTATTTCACTTAGCATAATACCCTCTAGGTTCATCCACATTGTCACAAATAGCAAGATTTCATTCTTTTTTATTGCTGAGTAATATTCCATTGTGTATGTATATAAATCATATCTTCTTTACCCATTC